GACTTCTTTACCGCGTTCATTCGACGCCGCCGCCCGTTGCGGCTCTCATTTTCTTCTTGGAACATGCTCCAAGGAGCCGCGTTCTCGTAGCGGGAGAACCGATTCCAGCCTGGCAGTGACCGCCTCTGGACCTTGCGATGCAGGATGAGCCACGCCCTCCGGGCCAAGCAAGGACATAAGCTTAGTAAGCGCGTCCTGCTGCGCCGGGGGCAAATTCGCGAACACGGGGTGTTCCATCCTCGCAGAGGATATAGTCAACCGACTCAGGAGCGGGATTGACTACAAGTGCTACCAAGTGCAGCGGGGCTGCCGTAGCTTTAGCGTCAGAGGAAGACGTTCGACTCAAAGAGTCACTAATACTAAGTTCCTTATCCAAAGGACACTTACAGCCCAAGACCAGGGCTCAAAGTTAACACCTTAACTTTTATGCTTCAAAACCAGAAGTGATTTATTTACTATTATTGCGGCCAAGCCGCCTAGGGGTAAATGTATCTCTTTAACTATCTAGCATAGTTAAACCTAATCAAATGCATAACGTGTGGCTTTCAGCCAACGTACTGAGAGACCTTGTTAACTCTCCAACTTATGTACTGAGAGTTTGTTAACTCGCCGGGTACTTCGTACCCCTGTGTGTTCCACACCATGTAACCCCGTTACACACTGTGTTACCCACACAGGAAGCGTGTTCAACGCCTTCCTCTTCAGTTAAGGTCTGGGCGACCGCGTGTGGCACTGTGTTACCCACACAGGAAGCGTATCCGACGTCTTCCTCTTCAGTTAAGGTCTGGGCGACCGTGAGTGGAACTCTGTTACCCACTCTGAACACGCTGTTCTCAGTGTTCATGACAGCTGCAGCTGTCTGCGGAACTAAGTTAACCGCCTGTGGACCTAAGTTACCCACTTGGCCGACGCCTCTTCTGGGCGCGGCCACCATCAAAACATCCTTGGAATCGTCATATACGTCGACGACTCCCAAGCATCTGCCGGATGCTTTGGTACCCAGGCAGCCCTCGCGGGCGCCCCGGGTCCTGACAGAGGTGGGAGCATGACTCACCAATGCTCTGTCGGACTTCTCAGGGCGGCTGGCACCGATTGCCTTGCCTCGCCAGTCGATCCAGGGCTCGTGCTTCTCAAGCCAGGGCATGCCCAGGATCATATCATATGGATCCATATCGAGAACAGTGAACTGTTCGAGGCTGTCAAAGTCTTCAAACTTGACGGCCAGATCCACTTGGACGTTGGGGACAGTGACGACCTTCCTTCCTACTAGTCGCACTGATACCGTTCCGTTGCCTATGCTTTCTCTCAAAGCATCAGACAACTTGTTGCTGTTACGAGCAACCGTCTGGCGGCGTGCGAAATTCTTCGACGCCCCAGAGTCAATCAAGATTCTAAAGGGATGATCGTATCCCCGTACACATCCGTGTACTATGAGCAACCCGCCGCTGCTCTT